GGACCGTTGGCGCGTATCTCTCGCGAGAACCGCCAGGAGCCATTAACAGAATAATAATAATAATAGTAATCTCGCGAGAACCGATTCTCCTTCGCGCCGGGCCGTTAGCGAGCGACAGCGAAACGACGACGACGACGAGTGAACGCGGAGGGCTCGCGCGTCCAGCCGCGACTTTATGCCCGAGGAATACGCGCGGAACACGCCGAGCGTGCCGATAAGCGGACGGGGCGGCGCGGGTCGAGTTGAATGACCGCGCGCGCGAGTACCGCGGAGTCCGCACGCGAACATATCGCGGTGGGTGTTCGTCCCGCGTCTCCGACGATCCGTTCCCGAGCGACTCCAGGACCGGCGCGGCAGGTGCGATGACGGGCTCACGCGTTTGAAGGGGAGGCGCGGGGCGCGGAGCCTGCAGTATCGGGGACCGTCAAGGTGGGTGTACCGGACCTGAGCCGCGCGCGACAGCGCGTCCCCCGCTCATACGGACTCTGCGAATAACTGTGTTACAGAAGCGCGACGAGTCTCTCGAGCCGCGGACAACGACGAGGAGTCGGCGTCGCCGGCGGTGGAAACAAAACTGTCGCGACCGCGCTCGCGCGGCTGCGAGGGGCAGGTCTCACGGGCCGCGGGGGCGGACGCGGGGCTCTCCAGCCGATAGAGACCGGGTCGTCCGTCGCAGCGGGTACGTCGCGGCCACGACGCGTTGGAGAAGGCAGGCGAGTGCAAGGTGGTGACACGCGTGTCACGCGCGAGGCGAGTTGGAGAGGGCGAGGGCAGGGAAGGACGGACGGGCGGACGGCGAACGTGCGCGCGCGGCCGCGCACAACAACGCGTACTCGTGTACTCGCGACACATACCGTCGCGTAGCCGAGGTGTTTATTGCTCGGCGCGGACCCGAGTGTGCTTCTCGTGCCAGGGAGGCGGTGGTGTTGGTGTGTGTATGTGTGTGTTTGTGTCTCGTCGGCGCCTGGATCTCCGCTCGTGCTCGCCGAGGCGGCGCGAGAGACCGCGAGAGACCCGGCCTCTGGCACTCGGCAAGCGCGCATCATCTCTCTCGCTTTTTGTCATCCGCCCTCTCCTCGCTCTGTCTCCTACCCTCCTCGCGGAGAACGCGCGCTGATAGTCCGAGGAGCGTCGTCGAGTATCGTTACGGCGGAGAAGAAGCAAGAAAATGGCCGACAATTGGGTGCAGAACATTGTTTGCCGGTAAGGAGTCGCGACGGGCGTGCGGGCGCGCGTCGCGAGTCACGCGGAGAGATTCCCTCCCCGGGACGGAATACCCTCGCGGTCACGGCATTTACCGTGGGTCGAGGCGGATAGATTATCCGAGCGAGCACGCGTTCGCAAGGGTAACGTTCCTTCGAGGCACACTCAAAAATATAAATATTGACACTCTGCGGATACTGGTCTCCCCCGTGTCGTTGGGAATCTCTCTCGGCCGTTTCAAACGCGACGAGCCCCGTCCCTGCCGTAGCGGGAGGCTAATCGGTCGTGCGCATTTGTTTCAGGTACTTTAAGACTGGTACTTGCCGCGAGGGGAACAACTGCCGGTTTCGGCACGTACAGGGGAATAGTAACGATGCAAGTATCAACGAGGCAACGTCGACCCATAACTCGCCTTATATTGTCACTTGTCGCTTCTTCAAACAGGGCATGTGTAAGTTTGGTGGCCAGTGCCGTTTTCGCCACAGCACAAGTAACGCAGACAGCGGTGCCGCGCAAACGAACGCAACGGAAAACTCGGCCTCCGTTCAGCACACGGCGAACTCTTCGAGAAATAAGTAAGCCCGGACGTCGAGTCGCGACGCTATCCTACTCGTGCGCGATCAGCTGACTGGGTCAGCCAGATGACGCTTGTAATAACATCTATCCGATTGCAGAAAAATTGACAAGCGCGTCGCTGAGGAGTGGGTCAAGGCACCCGAGTTCATACCTACTCCGGTCGCGGGATCATCCTCTATAGACGGAATGTCGTCCACCTCGGGAACGTCCTCGGGCACGTCGATGTCGGTCTCGTACGCCCAAGCTGTCAATCCATCTGGTCAAGCTTCGAGCCCTGCCTTAGAACCCCTCTGTCCGTACGCGGAAGCAACTGGGATCTGTAGAAATACAAACTGCACATATCTGCACGGCGACATTTGCGAGCTGTGTAGCCGCGCGGCCCTCCACCCACACAATGAAGAATTGAGGAAAAAGCATACAAACGTGAGACCCCTGTCGTCTTATCAATCGCGTTGCGTTAATTACAACCTTCTGCATTTTGCACGTTTGCCAGTTAGAGGAGATTAGACGAAAGATTTGACGATTATTAAATTTCCAACTACATATTCTATAATATCACCTAGGGATATTATTTTGCGTGAATGTATTTGGTTTGAAATTATCATATGCGAGTTACGCGAACGCTATTTTACCCTTGCACAGGCATGCGTGAAGCAACACGAAGCAGACATGGAATTATCCTTCGCCATTCAACGCAGCAAAGAGAAATCTTGCGGCATTTGCTTCGAGACAATAATGGAAAAGTCCTCGCGGGAACAGAGATTCGGCATACTGCCGAACTGCAATCACTGCTTCTGCCTAACTTGCATCAGAAAATGGCGCCAGGCCAAACAGTTTGACAACAAAATCATAAGGGCATGCCCGGAGTGTCGTATTCCCTCAGACTTTGTTTGTCCTAGCATGTACTGGGTGGACACGAAGGAGGAGAAGGAGAAGTTGATAAGAGATTACAAAGGCGCTTTGAGGTACGAAATAATCGTTAATCTCCTTCGCTTCGGCGTGTCTCTAATTCGTCACTTTTCTCTTACAGTACCAAGGATTGCAAGTACTTCAACAAGGGCCGCGGCAAGTGTCCGTTCGGTAACAAATGTTTTTACCTTCACGCACTTCCGGACGGGACTAAGAAAGATGTGGGCCCACCGGTTCGGCAGAGGCGCAACACCACCGACACCGATATCGACATCCTGCACGTAAGTGTTACAATTTGCCAAAATATACTCGTTTTCATCAGCGCGTTTCACTTAGAGTGTCGGAACAAACGATACACTATTCTTTTATCGAGCAGTGTCGAGCTACATCCGTTTACATATTTTACATACTCTCCACCCTGGTATATATGTGTACGCAGAACGTGAAAGAGCGGCTTTGCACTATTTACAGCAACTAATCTTGTGGGATTTCTTCGATGAAAGGGACGATCGTTGGATGTATCTCGATTTAGAAGATATCCCTTTCTTCTCAGATTCCGACGATTCCGATTGGTCCGATTTTGAGCTGTCGTTCGATTAGGCGAGCAAAACTAGTCGACCGACGCAAAACTGCCTTGATACCACTGTTATCATTGCTACTTTGTTGCTATGTCGATATACCTACTTCCTTTATTAGTCATGCGCGGCTTTAACGGCTAAGAAAATTACTAGATTATTAACAAATAATTTGAATTATTATAATTCGAAGACGTTCTAAACTACGTGTAGAAGAAAAAAACAAAAAGAAGCAAAATGGGTGCTTATCCTTAAAATTATCGTTTATATATATAAAAAGATATTTAGTCGACGTCAAAATGGTTAGAACCCTTTCTTTTTGCCCCTCGCGGATAATATCTACGAGTTTTTTTCTACATAAGATAACGATAATGGTTATTAAAATGTTAAATCGCGTCCGCAACAATCTGCAAAAAAATTAGCATTTTATTAAAATATAAACAATGGTAACGTTTTAATAACTATTATTTTTAATCAGAAATAATCTTCTAAATATTATCTATTAAAGGAATGTGTTGTTAATTATTTTAACGGCGACCGTATACTTGTCTAAATAATTAGAGATAAACAATCTCAATTATGGTGGTACATAGTCGAGCACGAACAAATAAAAGGTGAGAAATAGCATGAACAGTAATGAAAATTTCCTTGAATACGCATCGCAACTTTGGGAGTCACTTTGGTGTAACTTGACCAATGCTCTACTAACTCATTGTCCTAGCAACTATTAATTCAGTGGTCCAAATTTCATCAGTGAATAGTCTATATATCGATATTTTTCTGACGTTTATTTCCTCGTCGAATAATATGGTTGGCTTTTTTTTTCTATACCCTACTAGATACTTATTCAACTATTCTACAGTACGCGATTTAAAATATGTCTATACATTAAATCGAATCATAGAGTAAGCAAATTGATGAATAACTGGAATTTTAGTTGATTATTATCGTCAGTGAAAGATTAAAAAGATCATTCTTTTTGCTCTTTTTTTTTGTAAGCTAAAATCATATATCAAAATAGTTGAGGGATAGATTAATTGTAGCTTTGTTCGATTAAGGCTTTCTTTTTGTTTAAGGCGAATAGATTAGATTTACTCTATTTTGTAATTTCAAATAAACATTTGTCATTCAATGATGTTACATTATTACATGTACTTAATCGACTATGTAAAATCTATGGAGAATGTGCTACATGGGATTTAAACGAAACCAAACAATGGAAATTATTATTCGAATCGATTTTATAGCTTTATTTGTATTTGTAATAAATATTTATATATAGAATGGGCATGTTTTGTGATTGCAATATAATGTTGAACTCGATGTAAAAGGCAAACTCAAATCGGTTACGCGTCGTCGTGTTCGTATAAATACAATTTGAACACGGCGTACGGAACGCGCGTTTACGTTCGGCAATGAATTTAATTTTTCCGGCACAAACCCACTATGAAAATGATTGCAATTACAAAACACATTTAATTATAACTCGTCGAAGGTTCACAACACTACTATTCACATGTAAAATAGGAAAACTGGACAACGATTTATTAATTGTGTGATCAGTGTGCATTGTCAGTTCAATTTATCACTAGTTCATATCGAAGGTACGATCCACAACTGTCGTCCTACCTCTTGCTATGGCTCCGCGAATCTTTATATATATACATGATACATTGCTTTAAATTATTATACAGTTCTATAGCGTTACTCGTGAACAATGGGAATTCCTTTAAGTGTGCAAAGTGAATGTGATGTACGTGTGATATCCGAGCGTATTGGTGTACGGTATTTGTGTGCGTGTGTATAAATGTGCGAATGAAAAAAAAGGTACGAATATGAAGAAACAAAAGAAAAATACGTGTGAGAAAGGATCAGACTAGGAATATAGCATATATGCGGAATGAATAGCGACAAATGTAATAAAAAAAAGACCGCTTTGTGTGAAGTGCGCATTTGTAGATTCGAGAGAAAAAAAAGAAACAGTAGAAGTACGCACGACGGAGTTGGACCCACGACATAGAGCCATGCTGGGAATCATCGTCGATCGTTTTTACATTTTATCGATTTACTAATAATAGCAACACGTTCCGACAACCGTTCTCTTAATATAGAACCATGATAATTACGCTTTGAAGGGCATAGAATTCTTTTGTGTAAAACTGACGAGATGGTACGTAAAAAAAAGAAAAATACACACCAAAGAGCTACGATATTCACCCTCTAGCAAGTCTTGAATACTCCGTGTGATGTCATTTGTTAAACCTTTCGCTAAACGATCTATCCGCAATATACTTATGACAAATAATCACGTTGTTCTACGTATAGTTCCTGCTCGCACTTACAACCTGATTCGTATTCATGGTAGGAAGTGACCAGCTTTTACAGCAGAGAACCGTCGGTACTGCCTTTCAAAAGCTATGTGATTATAGAGTAATATATCGTTCATTGCGCTATAAAGTCAGTTTCTTAATCCGCCACGACAAAGCGTTTTATCGGCTCGAACTTTCGCTATGCTATGAGAATATCGTTTATATATTTCCCATAGAATTTCTATGCTGTTAATTTTATCGACAATTGTTAGAATAAAACGCTTTATATTGTTACCGGTAATGTATAATAGAAACTTTCTATGGTACGCTGTGCGTTTCGAGCGGCTATTTTTGGAGCTACTTTCTTTAACAACCGCAAACCTCCCGACGAGGGAGGCGAAAATAAAAAGACGCTTAAGCGATATTGGATTGTAAGATAGCGGAATGTACGCCGACGAGTTGATCGTGAATTCTTAAGTCGGTAATAATTTTGTGAAATTGATGGAGAACTTACGATGGGAACTTGTTTAACGTTCAGTACCAGTACATATCGCCGTAATGGGAGGAGAGCTGAGTTAATCGCGTTGAACGTTGCACGCATTTGCCGTCGTCACTACCAATTTTATACGTCTCGGACTAAGCGCCGTGCTATTTACTGCATTATTATGCTCTAAATGCGCGAGAACGCGAAAGGAGAGATTAGAATGAAATGAGGAGTTGACGTTCGCGCCAGGTCGTTCCACCGGCGTTCAACGCGGTTCGCCTTGACTTTGGCGATGCATTTTCGGAGTTAACTTTGGAGTTCGCTCGCGTATACGGTACATAGTGATTCTAAAGTCGAGATTCCACCGTGTCATTTTCGTTACTAACCGCGAAGAGAGTGTGTGTGAGGCGAGGCCGGTTTACTGATCCATTCGGATTATTATTCGAACGAGATGTGGCGAACGTTAGAACAAGATTCTTAATAACTTCAATCCCGTTCTCAGGATGGTTTCGTTAAGCTAGTTTAGAAATTACATACAATTTTGCGGGACAACCGCGTGCGTTATGTCTCTGCGTGCAGAATTCAATCGCCAAGATTCTACCGCAAAAGTGTGCATTAATGCGAATTAATCGTACTAAACGTACCTGCATTGAATACTGTATTGCGTAGTGACGAGTATTCTTTCCCCCCTACCCCTCAACAACCTCAATACGCTTTACAGTTACGTAAATTCATTTACATAAGTTGAGATCGAGCGTCTCTATTAATTTCCCTCTCACTCTCTTTCTTTTCTTTCGACCCTTACGGTATTCAATTTTTTAGGATAATATTGTACCGATTGTATCATTTTATATTTCTGCGTTGTATTATTTATTTTTATTCGGTATGTCAAATGTCTATTTTATCGTATGCCGGAAACGCTCAAAGAGTCTCGCGAGCTGGGAAGAGTTACACTTGAGTTATTTTTTCCTAGGGGAGGTGATTCGTTGGTATTACGCTAAATTTATAATACGTAATTAAACCTTATATTTTTGTAACTTATCGCGTCGAACTACGTTATATATGATAAAAAGGCTCTATAAAGCGGATATAATAAGATATACGATTAAAAGTCTTATATTTATTAAGTAGCGCACCACCTTGAGAAAATTTAAAATCGACGTTGAAAACATTGTTGTGCCACAGCTTGTTTCTTACGTCTTTAATAGATCTTAGATTATTGTGAATGTTTTTTTTTTAGCCAATAAATAATACGTAGATGAAGCAAACTGTATTTTCACTGCTTAATGCGAGGCAAATTGCGAATGTTCGCATTATCTTCGACCATCCTTTTCACGTGTAAAGAAGCAATTTAAGCAAATTAATTATATCGATGAGAAACAACTTTCTCTCTCTCTCTCCCTCTTTCTCTTTTTGTACCTCTCTCAATTGATAATGCGATCGTGAGGCCGTCACCGCGTCGCATCGCATTACAACCGCGTTGTCGCGGGCAAAGTATAATTGCAAAATTATTCGAATGTGTTCAGGGGTTTTTCCTGCGACGTCCAATTAAGATACTCCGCGTGTCATTCTTTCGAGAAATTGTAAAACATCGCAAGAATCCCTGATAGATGCAAAGGCAATTGCTTCCCGGGGAAACGAGAGGGAGAAGGAGGGATGCGATTGAGTGATTCGCGCGTCGATCACGCGTAAAACGAAAGGAAAAAAAAAACACGTTCTGGCGTGTACCAGAGGGTCTCTATCGCAAAATAGAAACGTCGGCAAACCGTCTGTTACATCGCGCACGATATTTAAATTGCCACGTCCCCCCCTCCCTCCTCCCGCTGTCGGGGGGTCCGTCAATTTCACGTGTCCGTTCACTTCTGATAAAGTAGAATTAGCGATAAAAGGTCTACGTGTGTACAACGTCGTTG